TCTTTTTTTGGAGCTTATGTTACTGTCTTTTAAAACAAAATGAGAAATGTAACCCCAGTAGTGCAGTTTTTCATATCACAGTGAAATTATTTTGTGGAGTTCATTCTTACATTTAATCTTGAACAGCACCTCTTTCCCCTGAATCTTTCTCTATTATTGTTAATCTCTTTGCCTGCAATGTTAAGCTTAACGATCAAGAAAATGAATGAATATTAAGTGGAAGGTTACTACATGTTAAATGGAGGTACATACCTATGGAGTAGATTCTACATGAGAACCGAACACTCAGTTCAAATGATATTTGCTTTGGACTTCTGGGGAAGCAATAGCAGACTGAAGGCAGCTCCATGGAGAGTAGAGCTGGCAGAAAGAGAAGCTGATGAATGGATTGGCTCCTCAGAATTTCTCTCTGGAGCGAGGAGAGGCCAGGATTGCCCACAAGTGCTCCATACAGTGACTCCCTGCTGACACCATAAGCCAGCAGTTTCAGGTGAATTTTAGTACTCTAGGAGCTGGGAGAAAGTCAATTTACTTATGACATGGTTCAGTGCCTTTAAATGGATACTAGGTTTGCAGGACTAGAAGACCTCCAAGGTCCCTTCCAACTTGTTATTTAGTTACTTCCTCTCTTAAATGTCTTAAAATTGTTCATTAATGGCTTTTTTGATGTTAAGAACCTTCACAAGGCAAGTTTCATTATACTGGGTGAGTTTCTTTATCCTTCATGAATGACGTTACAAAAAAGCTTAAGGACTTTAAAATGAATTTCTTTTTTATTTTTGAATAAATAGCAAAAGGTGACCGTATAATATTGATTTTAGAAAGTTATAAGATTAAAGGACTTGAAATAATTTCCTGTAGATTGTTTAAAAGTTTATAGAAATGTATATGAAGAGTTTGAAACTAACTCTAAGGAATCCTATTGTGGGAAAATGTTACTGATTAGGAAAAAAAACTACACATGATAAGAGGGTACTTTCAAAGTTGACTAGAGGGAGCCAGAGAGAATTAAAGATTAGAATGAAAGGAGAAAAGACCTATTAAAATAATGGAGCAATATTATTTGAATGTAGGATTCAAGGATATTTGGGAACAATGCACTCAGAAATTACTCTTAAGATTGTCTATTATAAAAATGGATTTTAAAGGGACTATAGAAGAGGAACAGATTTTACTGGACAAAATGGAGATTGAGGGCTGATTTGAATGTGGATCTGAAAGTGGATTTAAAAATGCCGGACTGCAAGAATAATATGGAAGAAGATGCCACACTGAATTTACAAATGAAACTGGCTGATGAGGGTACATATAACTAAATCAGAAGAGTGACTTGGATGGCTTTCTTATCTTGGATTTACAAAACAGACAAGTTATATTAATGAAGGAGTTTCTGAGGAGACAAAGAGGAAATGATAAGAAATCAATTGGAGGGATATCATTTGAAGGGATTAAAAATCAAGATTTTAAAAAATAAACAGAAGTAATATAAGATTTATTTGATCAAGTTTAAACTATATATTGTTAATGGATTTTTTTTTTACTAGGACCAAATGACAAAGCTTTAAAGATTTGTTGATAGATAACAGCTAAGAGATGAAAAAAATTTTCTTTTGTTATATTTTTGGAGAAAACGCTAAGTTACTGTGTTAAAAGAATATAAAGTTGACTTATTTGATTAAAAAGTAAAGGAGTCCTTGCGGATTTTACTCCACTAGTCATTGCCGACTGTAGGGGGCGGTACTCATCTGTTTCAAGGCCATTGAGCCAGCGCTGTCCGAAGACATTTCCACGGTCATGTGGCCAGCATGATGTCATGGAGCACTGTTACTTATTTGATTAAGATTAAAATATATATTTTATTTATCCCTGATTTTTGCTGATTGGGACTGAATGACAAGATTTGATAATTTGTCTTTTCTTAAGAGATGAGATGGGGGAAGAGGAGAGCCTTTACTGAAATATCAGAGAATAAATTACTGAAGCTGCCTGTAATTGTACAGAGGGAGAGGAGATTCATTTCTTTATGTATCCTTTTAAATTTTTTTACTCTATTTTTTCTTTGCGCTTTTTATTTTCTATGTTCTTACTTTGCATTGTTTTTGCATTTGTAAATTTTAATAACAATTATTATAAAAACTGCAAATGGCATTGACTTTGAAAATCATCTTGCTTCAGTAGAGACTGATCTCATTTAAGCTTACGATCCAGATTCAGATTTACAGTTAGGAAATAGTGGCTTAAGTGTAGTGAAACTGACTTATGAGCACGTTCATTCCTTTTCCATCAAAATCAAACATTCAACTGAAAATGGAAAAAGAAAGCAGAAGCATGTTTTTTTACCTGTTAAACCAATATTTTTTGACACATAATTTGGGTGGGAAACAATTGAAATTGTGATTGTGTTTAAATGGTTGCAATTTTCTGAACAATGTTCATTGATAGCAGTTGAAATGCAGTCGTTGATGTGCAGTGTGCCTCTTAGTCCTAATAGATGTAATACAAATTTTATTTTATTTATTTATAAAATTTATTGCCCACCCATCTTACCATATGGTTACTCTGGGGGCTTACAATTATATCTTAGTTAAACAAAAAAATTAAACCTTAAAACCAAAAACACATGAGGAGGGCAGGAGTGAAGTAGGAGGGAGGGAGGATCTGTTATTACTCAATCAACCACCTCCATTGCGCTGATCCCTCACTGGGGCCCCAAGCTGACCGGCACAGCCACGTCTTTAGGCCCTTACAAAAAGATAGGAGGGCTGCGGTATAAAATGGCATAATGGCATATAAAAGTATTAGGATGAAGTACAATTTGTGAAAATGCAGTAGATCAACTGAGACTGTGTGTGGCTTCTTAGTTGAAAAGATTGGAGCCATCAAAAGGCTTTTACTGTGATTTGTGTATGGTTCTTGTAATTCATTTACCTCAGTATCAAAGAAAGGTTCACAGTGGAATTTAGCAAATTTTGGGCATTTTCTTTAACCCCACATTAATAATTTGAATAGCAAATTTAAATGGACAGCAACACATGTCACTTATTTTTATGATTGCAATTATATGCCATAATGTTAGTGTAGCTCTCACTTTGCTGGATATTTTCCCTGTTTTATTAAATCTTCCCATTTTAAAAATACATTTAAGGACAAGATATTTTAGGAAATAGTTTTGTTTTTATACATATAGTATTTAGATTTGAGAATACTACTGTGTATGCATGTGTGTGTATATCTATGACAGTAGCAACAACTTAATTAAGAATTAAGGTCATCCAGTTCCTTGAGATTTAGTTGTGAAACATTTAAAAAATGGCGATAATTGACGTAAAACTGACTTGTTCATTATTAGAATCCTTAAAAAGGGGATTAAGTCTGCTTTCAATGGATATAAAGTCGCAAAACTCTATTTTATCAATGAGTGATGGGCATTTATATCTGCTAAGAATGTGCATTTTATTTTTAATAAATAGTTAATATTCTAATTATATTTACGTTAACTAACATTTTTCAAAGTAGTAGTTTTATTCTGCAAATATGTATTGATATGCCACCTTATATTGCAATAACTAGAAGAACAAGGCCTGCATAATAGATCCTATGTTATAATTTTTATAGCAGTGGTTGGAGCTCTTTAATGCAATTAAAAATGGACTGACTATGTTCTGGAAGATGAAAATTACAGAATTTTCAGTATGCTTTAGAGGAGCTATTCAAAGTATGTTTTTTTAAGGAAGAAATGAAGGTATAGGATATGCAATGATCTTGTTCTTACTGAGTTAATAAACTTATGTTTGGAATATACCATTTTAGAATTGGAATTCATACAATAGGGGAAATAATAACTAAATGCCAGCCAAATACCTAGGAAAATGCTAAGTTATAACTGATTCTGTGATTCCTTCTATAGGCTAGGAACATTTGCCTTAAATGGAAGAATATCTGACAACCCATTTCTGCCCAGTTCTGTAGAGTCCAGTTTTTAATCTACTTTTACTAATTATAGTAATTTTTTGTTTTGACTAATTCTGGACTCCTTTTCTATGGAAGTGCAGCCACTCCTGCATTGACAGCTCAAGAGAAAACATTTAGATGAGGCGACTTCACTTTGGTTTGTTACAATCCACCATTTCATACCTTGTTACTTTCATATGCTAGCACATTATTTTATCTAGTTTGAATTGGAAACAGAGATAAATAAACTCCACTCATTCAGAGAACATGCAAACTGTTTTTTGATTGAGCTAGTCCAGAAAGCCATTGGGTGGAATCTAATGGCTTTCCTGAAAACATCTACTTGTCTGTTCTCTGATGTTTGAGAAACTCTCAGGAGTAACTATCAAAAGTGCAAAGGAGGATTTCTTTAGCTATTTAAACTAATGCTGTCATCTCTACTGAGTTACTCTACATCTTCAGCTTATATAAAAAGATTGTATTTCACTAGAAGCTAGTTCAATTCTCATTTGTACAATGTAAAAACATAGGAAAACAGTACTGATAAAGATCAAAGGCTATTCTTCCACCAGTACCAATGTCACATCTGGAAGCAGAATATAAGCAAAAATAGTATTGTCCCCATCATTTCCCCCAGTAATTGAAACCGAGAAGCCTATTGCCTCTGATACTGGAGATAATATATAGCCTTCATACTGAGTAGCCATTGATTCTCCATGAATTTGTCTCATAAAAGCCTTGTATGGGGACCATATATTCAACTGAACTTCACAAATGGTTTGGAAAGCGCAACTTTTTAAAGTAATTTGGAATAAAAAATTAAATATTAAAAATAATGAGTAGAGGTTTTTTTAAGGGAGCGAAACATTAAGGTTGGAATCCTATATACATTGATTCAGTGTAATTTACTTTTGAGTAGACATAGGATTATTTTGTAGAATAATATGTATAGTATCGAAAAATGAAATTATGAAATTGGGAAGTACATACTAATTAACTGTGTTAAAAAAAGAGGAAGAATGTAATTTTATAGGTAGTTTTTTTTATTAGATCGCTTCACCAGTAATATGGATCAGTACGTTTTAGCACTAGAGTATGAAAATTACACACCTGTAAAAACGGCATCTAACAGCTATCAAATTAAGAAATTCTTTTCTCCATCATATAACATACTGTAAAGACAGAGGTTCTGTTCCAGAAACTTAAGGAACTATACATGTAAATGTGAATAGTGTATGAATTGGAAATATTGCTAAATACTTTTGGAATAAAATGACCTGATTGAACATTGTTGCACTGTAATTAAATTATCCGTAGTGGAAATATGATCAAAATATTTTCTTGAAATGAGAATGCAATTAAAAATACCTGGGAATTAATGGAAGTATAAATTCGAGATCTGAAATTGAATCACAAGTCTGAGTTGCTTTGCATTTTGGGAATATAATTTTATGTGTTTCATAGAAAACACTTCTGAACTTTGTAAAGTCAAAAGAGGAATTCCAGACAATGCAGAGCAGCTGTTCAACTGAATTTCAACAGCTTTCCAAAATTTATCTAGCGATCACTAGTTTGCGAGAGAAAATGAAGAACACTACTCATCCATGTTACTGGAAAACAAAAGAACTATAACAGTACGCAAATTAAACAATGAATATTGGAATAGGTCAAGGATACAGCATTTTTTTTATGTAAATCAAAACTATTTCTCTGGCCTCGCATCCAAGATTGTAAAGCCAAGGCTTATGAGAATTAATTAAACATCATGATATTTCAACTAATAAGTAGTGTGTCTGTTGTCATGGAATGTCATCAAGATTTGTTTTATTTTGTATTATATCTCTATAGGCAGTTAACACTGATCATATAGTGCAAACTAGATAAAATTGTGTTTCACTGTGTGAAATAAACAGAGGTGCAAATGCTCAGTAGGATACCATTAAGACGTAAAATGGCAAAAATAAATATCAAAACTTTTTATCAGTGTAAAAAAGTAATTGGGTTATTGTATAACCTAGAGTCTGGCAAAAAAGGCCTCAAAAAGTTCAGTCTTCAGAAATTCCACAAATTAAGTGCCTTTAAGTATTCCTTTTAGACAAGAGATTCCATACTTTCTGCAGGATCTGATTCTTCACTGGCCATAACAACACCATTTTTGTCCATTGCCATGGCGCCATTTCCATTTTCTTTAGTGCTGATCAGGCTTAGCATTGCTTTGTAAAGGAATTGGTACTGCTCCTGGAACAAAAGGATCAAAAGGCGTTAAAGTACCTAAGACAGTGGTTCTCAACCTTTTTAATGCTGCGACCCCAACCGGTCGTAAGTCGAGGACTAAACCGGTCGTAAGTCGAGGACTAAACCGGTCGTAAGTCGAGGACTAAACCGGTCGTAAGTCGAGGACTACCCAACCGGTCGTAAGTCGAGGACTTTCCCTGCCCGGGAGTGCCGTGCATGCGTGGGTCCGCCCCCTGCGCCAGCCGAGGCGTAGCTGGCAGAGATGGAGCAGGCCGACCACCAGCTGGCCCAGCCCAAGGGAGGTAAGGCACCCGCCGGAAAAGGGGGAAAAAAATGGCGGACAAAAAAAATGGTGGACAAAAAAAATGGCGGACAGCCTTGCTTGGCGACCCCCATGAAATGGTCGATCGACCCCAAATGGGGTCCCGACCCACAGGCTGAGAACCACTGATCTAAGATTTAAGCAAGCAGAATGTTTTATTTATTTATTACATCTTTATGCCACCCATCTTATTGACACAGCAACTCTGGATTATAATATAATAAAAAAGGTAATACAAGGCAGTTAAAATTGGAAGAATTAAATAGGAAAGCTAAAATCCAAGACAATGGACAACTTGGGGGAGGGGGGATCTCTTCTACCCTGTCAGCTACCTCCAATGTACATGCCCCATTGGGGCTCCAGGCCAAGTGGCCGAACAAAGTTTTCAGGCTCTTCTGGAAGGCCAGGAATATGGGGGCAGACCTCTCTTCCAACAGGAGAATATTCCAGAGGGTTCTCTGAAAATTCTCCTAGACCTCACCAACCAACCTTGGCAGATGGGATCCAAAATAGGCCTCTCCCACTGGAATGAGTGAAGTGGGCTACTCCTGTCAGGATGAGATGGCTGCTCAGATACCTTGTGCCTTTCCCGTAAAGGTCTTTAAAGATACAGGTAGTCCTCGACTTACAACCACAACTGGACCCAAAATTTCTGACGCTAAATGAAACAGTTCTCAAGTGAATTTCACCCGTTTTACGACCTTTTTTGCCACAGTTGTTAAGTGAATCACTGTAGTTGTTAAGTTAGTAACGTGGTTGTTAAGTGAATCTGGCTTCTCCATTGACTTTGCTTGTCATAAGGGGATCACATGACTACGGGACACTGCAACCGTCACAAATATGAGTCAGTTGCTAAGCGTCTGAATTTTGATCATGTGACCATCAGGATGCTGCAATGGTTTTAAGTATGAAAAATGGTCATAGGTGACTTTTTTTCTAGTGCTGTTGTAACTTCAAACTGTCACTAAATGAACTGTTGAAAGTCGAGGGCTACCTATAATCAACTAAATTGGAGCCAGAAACAAACAGGCAACCAAATGCAGTTTGTGTAACATGTGCCAGCCGAGGGGTCAGTAGAACTGTCCATGCTGCTACGTTCTATTTTATGTCCAGATTGGATTTTCCAGAGTGATTCAGTTTTGCCTGTTAAGATTCCAGTTGGAGTCCAAAGAGATTTTTTTTTTCCTTTTTCTTTTTTTAACTCTTCACACAACTGAGCAAGCTTTACATTATGGCGTAACTTTCACTTTCCAAAATGGTGCAACAGTTCATCTTTCATTTTTTAAAAATAATTTCTGTAAAACTATATTGTAACCCCTCCCCAAAAGAAAGCATCACAATTTTCTTCAATGTGTTCCCATTCACTTTCAGTCGTTAATGAGGGCACGTATAAATGATCTTGTCTGGCCATCGAATAAGACTGCTTGCTTGCACGCAGGAAGTCTCCAATAAAAAGCCTCTGCAGGATAATATGAAAGAGAGGGCATGTTCACCCTACAGTGTCCCTAAAAGTTATGCATATTGCTGAAGAACGGCTCTTAGGATAGAATCCAATGATCTTATTCTACAAGACAGAAAAGAACAAGTGGAAACGAACAAGAACTTAGGACTGGGCACAAAACCTATGCAAGGATTTCAATTGTTTTTCTTTTTTGTTTTTGTTTTTTCTTTGTAAAACCACCACTATCTTTCCCAGTTCCAAACTTACAATGTCTGTAAATACTCCAGGCCTCATCAGATTGATCATTTTTGCCACCTGGAAAACATCAACAGCATTTTCATTTTCCAGTTGCTGAGACAGGGTAGTCAGAGCACATAATGTTCCAGCTGCCACTGCTCCATACCTGAAAACCCAAAGAATAATTTTATTCCCTATAAGAGATCCAGGGGAATCTTGTATGTCTCTATGCCGGCTTTAATTTCTCTTGAATTTCCCCCTGAGTTTTTGTCAAGCATTTATTCTCGGAGGAATAAAACAAGGGAAGATGAGGATGGGTGCACATATGGAAAAATATATTTTCTGCTACATTTCCTCAGAATGCAATTAAAAGCTGAATTTATACCTTAAAACATGAAAATAAAATTCAGCGAACATAACAAATACTAGGATGGATTTACCAAAGAGATAATCTTGCAGTGTTAAAAGCAAGCTTCATTTTTTTTGCCTGCTCAAATCAATAATTAGATTAATTTTGAAACAATTTTTAACATGGCAAGTTCAGCAAAATGACTACAAACCAGATGAACATTAAAACTAGCCATGGGGTAATACAAGTAGGCAAAAATATCTATTTAATATTATACCTTTGTAATGTACAATAACAACATTTAAAAACCCTTCTTCTCTATTCGTATTAACACCTTTCAATATAAAATTGGATACAGCAGAAAAAAGTATTTATGAAACTTTAAATACAATTGTAATATTCCTAGAGGAGTCAATAATACCTTTTACCTCCCTCCTAGATGAATGTTCACAAAATTTTACATTTCTTATACCTTTTCCAATCTTTATAAAAAATTATTTTAGTGAATATACATACTCATCATGAATGATGGTTGGGCCATCTCTTGTTAAGGCCTCTTCCTTGATTATATTGATAAGTTCAAAGGTACTGCTGATTGGGGCGTCTGGATTTGGCCATTTGGGGCACTGAAAGTGGCGAACTTCCAAAACATAATCATCCTGAAATAAAAATCAGCCCAGCTATTGACCATTTTAATTCCATTTCTAGATTTGAAATAACTAAAATTTATATCTTTAGCCCCTACAGTGTATACATTTTTCAATAATTTTTTTTTGAAGGAGATGCTAAGATGACAACCAATTAGTGATTCCTTCTGCTACAGACCAGCCTTATTTCCCCTGGTTCAGTCTCTCCCTCCCCACTTTCAATATCACCACGATGTAAAAAAGATGCTGAGACTCTAGAAAGAGTGCAGAGAAGAGCAACAAAGATGATTAGGGGACTGGAGGCTAAAACATATAAGGAACGGCTGCTGGAATTGGGTATGTCTAGTTTAATGAAGAGAAGGACGAGGGGGGACATGATAGCAGTATTCCAATATCTCAGGGGCTGCCACAAAGAAGAGGGAGTCAAGCTATTCTCCAAAGCACCTGAAGGCAGGACAAGAAGCAACGGATGGAAACTAAGCAAGGAGAGAAGCAACCTAGAACTAAGGAGAAACTTCCTGACAGTTAGAACAATTAATCAGTGGAACAACCTGCCTCCAGAAGTGGTGAATGCTCCAACACTAGAAGTTTTTAAGAAGAGACTGGACAGCCATTTGTCCGAAATGGTGTAGGGCAGTGATGGCGAACCTTTTAGAGACTGAGTGCCCAAACTGCAACCCAAAACCCACTTATGCATCGTCGGGTGCTGGGTGGGTGTGGCCCATTGGGTGGGTGTGGCCCATTGGGTGGGCGTGGCTGCGGTGGGAACAGCAGACTGGGACTAAAAAGTTCAATCAATCAATTCCAACTTTGCAAGATCTTTTTTTTCCCGCGAGAAGTTGAAATTGACTGATTGACTGAACCTTTTTTTTTTGTACATGGCGGCGGAGGCCTAAAGCGAAAAGGTTTTATAAAACCCAGCTGAAGGCCTAGGACTGGGGCGACGGCGCGCGTGCCCACAGAGAGGGCTCTGAGTGCCGCCTCTGGCACCCGTGCCATAGGTTCGCCACCACTGGTGTAGGGTTTCCTGCCTGAGCAGGGGGTTGGACTCGATGACCTCCAAGTTCCCTTCCAATTTTTTATTATTATTATTATTGTTGTTGTTGTTGTTGTTGTTGTTATTGTTGTTATTATTATTATTATTATTATTATTATTATTATTATTATTATTATTATTATTATTATTATTATTATTATTATTATTATTATTATTATTATTATTATACTACCCAGAGGGGGGAAAAGAAGGAAGGAAAGGAAAGAACCCAGATAAGCCTTAGTAATAATACTGGGGTTTAAAACTCCAGTAAGGTAGTGAATCAATGAGAATCAATGGAGAACATATACTTTGAGTACCCTGTCTTAAGTAGGGGAGCACAGAAGATAACTTCTCCCATAGGAATCCCCTGGATCCTTTACAACCACATTACTTAACAGTAATCCTTTGATAGAGGAAGAATTATTTATCTCTCCCAAGAAATCAGAAATGAATTCATTTATGATTCTAAAGAGTGTCTTCCCCAATATTACTAGAAAGAAAAAGGTGATTCTTAGTAGCACCTAACGGTTGGTATGACCTCTCTTTGCTCAATTTTGGGGAGCCCACTCCAGATGCAATAGTGATATCTCTGAGGTTGCTCCATACCCTGTTTTCTAAAATTCAGGTGACGTTTCTGCATCAATAAACTTCTCTTATGGATGTTGCATGTCATAAAATCTACTGTATGCTGAGTCCAAATATAATGCCTAAACAATTAGGATGGTTAGATAACATACTGCATATTTATTACGTGTGAAAATCCAGATGCAATTATTCATTACACCATGGTAAGAAACACCCAAGGCAAATCTTACTATCAACTAACAAAATGAGGAACAATGTTATGTTTCAATTATTTAAAAATAAAATAAAGGAGAATATTTGTAGCTCAAGGTGGAAACGAGGGGTCATTGGTGCTCTCCGAGCTTGGCTGTTTTCTTGCAGATGTTTCATTGTTCAAACTAGATAACCGCACTGATGATGTTACCTAGTTTGGGTAATGAAACGTCTGCAAGAAAAAAACAAGCTCAGGGAATACCATTAAAAATAAAAAAAATGACATAGAAGTGGCACGTGATTATACATCAGTCCAAATGTCAGATAATCACTCAGCCAAAGATCCATACGTATAGGACATCCTGGCACTTTGCTGCAGAGCATAACAAAACATATTAAATATTTTTGGAACAACAGCTTAGCTTTTCTGAAACTTCACGTTTCAATACGAGCTTAGTTTCTTGTATAGAAAACATTACATAAATGTCCCCCATTTGTGATTTGAGATGACTGAATGGCTAATAATTAGTAGTAATTTCTTCACTGTAGCATATATCCCAAAATTGCATGTGGAATGTGGAAAACATTTTAGTAAATCTAAATTTACTAAGGAGGAATATTACACCTTTGAACCAAACCTGACTGTTACTCTATGTCAGCGGTTCTCAACCTATGGGTCACGACCCCATTTGGGGTCAATCGACCATTTCATGGGGGTCGCCAAGCAAGGCTGTCCGTCATTTTTTTTCCCCTTTTCCGGCGGGTGCCTTACCTCCCTTGAGCTGGGCCAGCTGGCGGTCTGCCTGCTCCGTCTCTGCCGCTTGCCAGCTACGCCTCGGCCGGCACAGGGGGCGGAACCACGCATGCACGGCACTCCCGGGCAGGGAAAGTCCTCGACTTACGACCGGTTGGGTAGTCCTCGACTTACGACCGGTTTAGTCCTCGACTTACGACCGGTTTAGTCCTCGACTTACGACCGGTTGGGGGACATGGCATTAAAAAGGTTGAGAACCACTGCTCTATGTCAATTCCATGTAGGACGAATTACAGCCTGAATAAGTTGCTCTCAACAGGATCTGGGAGAACAGCTAGTGAGTATACGTCATAAAATTTCTAAAGGAAAATAATGAGCTTTAAAAACTGCTTTTGGTTTTTTTTTTTTTTTAAAAATTTGGGACCTCAAACCTGCTGTGTTTTTGTTTGAGCAGTCATTCCATGCTTAGTTCTGTAAAAGCTTAAGTATTATAGCTTTCTACGGAAATGGTATTCTGCAAGCAAAATTGGGATGCTCTAGAAACAATCTCTGAGAAGGAAGGAAATGATATGAAGACCAAAGACAGACATTGTCCATATCCCACTGCAAATCATTCAACTCAAATATTAACCAACATCAGCAGGAGTTTGAATGGCAAGCAGACTTCAGATTCACCTCTGGAAGATATTTTATATACCTGAGTAGCCTCAAGGATAAAGTCATGGATGATGATCTGTTCTTCATTAGGGAGGCACAGCCGGTCCTTGCTGATAAGGGTGACGGTAAATGCCTCGCAGTTCATGGATTCTTCCCGACTTGGCCAGTAGACAAACTCATCTTCTGCCTGAAGACAATTGAATCAAACGGAAAACACTGGAATATATTTCTTTAATCTTTAAACAGGCAGAATTCACCAGGTCAAAACTTCATTTAAATAGGCAAGATCTCAAACTAATTTTATGCAAAATTCTTCTCTTAGGAAAAAAAAAAAAAGAGCATACTGCCAGTATACTTTGTTCTTCATCACAGCAAACCTTAGCCTTTATTTGGTTTCATGGGGAGATGCTTATTTTACAACACTGATATGATCCGCATTTAAACAGATAAAATTTTCCCAGTAATAACAGTTATATAATTATGTATTGTTCCATTGTGCCATGCTGCGGGCATTGCTATAAATACAAAGATTATTTTATTTATTTTCTACCTATAAAGTCATTTAGGTGTTGATTCAAAAATTTAAGATTTTTTAAAACAATTATTTTCACCTAAAACGTTAGTAAATAATCTTTTTTATTGCTTGATATGTAGGGCTCTTTTTTCTATATTGTTGCTGGCAGATGTACAAATTTTCCTGTCCTCGGCTATTCCCCCCCCCCCTGGTGTTCCCAAACTTCTTTGCATAACCTGGATAACAAAATTGTATTTTCTGGCTATAATTTTCATTGAAATAAAGGAGAAGCAGGTAAATAATCTGGTTGTTTCTTATTGTGCTACCATAGGAATATGCAGTATATGAAATGAAATAACTTACTAAACTCTGGTTATCTGGAAGCATGACAATGATCTGTGCATTGTGATCCCAAATCATTCTCCAGAAGTCTTTAGTTGTATGTGGCAGGGGATGCTGTGTTATGATGAACTCATTGCTCCGATAGTAGCCCTTTAAAAGAAACAGCAATTTTTCATAAATGGAATAGTTTGGAAACCTTAAAGGCCTTGGGTGAAGAAAAAAATAATTAAATTGCTAAATTTTAATGACAACTTACTGGTTAATTTATCCAAATAACAATACTGAAGAACATTATATACTATCTTAGTTGTGTTTTTTGTTTTGTTTTTTCAGAATACATACTAACACGACCAACTGTACTTTATAGAAATAAGTAAACTATTGTTTTCAAATAATATGAGCAAATCACTTTTTGACTTAATGTCATTTAGATCCCTGCAGTAGAATTCATTGCTTATGTATCACTTGGTTTTCAATGCTGCTTCAATTTAACAATTCTAAGCAGCTTAAAAAGCAACAGACACATGATGAGCAATAATGCAAAATACACTATTAGTGAACATATTAGTCTAGATACCTGGCATAGTTTATTGTTCTTGAGCATACAACCAATTCCTCCTATAGAGTGAACATAAGTTTTTAATTACTGTTCAGCCCCTTCTTTCCAAGGGGGGGTGGGACAGACTGTGCCTTAAATTTTAATTTATGCAAACTATTTTTTTAAAATTGTATGCAGAATCTATAGTGCTCAATCCAGTTCTGTTATTAAGCAAAGGAAACATAATTTTTACTGGAGTACAAGACAGAACAATCTATAGAGACAGAAGAATTTAATATTTGGATTTTTTCTCTGGATTTACTTAAACATAAATGATTATTATCTTACCATAATGTACGAGGCATTAATGTAATCAGTTCCCTTCATGCCAGGTAATGGTGCTAGTCCTACCCTTGCTCGCTCAGCTGCAGCATTAAACAAATAAATTATGTGTCAAATAGATCTTAATCATCATGGTAGGATTATTTTAACAAAATACAGTTTTCCCAGGATCTCATTTAGATGATAAAATAACATAGATTAAATTGATACAAAATTCACATGAAAACTTAATTTCTGAAATAAAATGTTGCTTGTGCTGTGTTCTATTGGCAGAACCACCCAATGAAAACTAACTAACTCCATGAACCTTACTGAGAACAGGGATTTTCAAACTCTTTCAGGCTTTGGAATCAATAAAAAAAAATTCCAGACTCTCTGTTTCCTGCCTCATAGACTACACACACAGTGTTATCATCAGCACAAACAACCCCATCTTTTTCACTGTACCTCAAAAAAAAAAAACACCACTTGTTAGGGGTGCCCTGTCCATGTTCAACTGAACTTTTTTGCCCTGGAAACAGTTTTCAGGAAATTGTATGTAGACCAACCCTGGAAGACTGCACCTATTTACTAGAATGCATTTACAATTTATGAACATCATTAGCAGTTCTTTACTTTATGCAAGGACCAGTGTAACTGAATTATATGCTATAATATAAGCATTCCAGAACTATTATATTTTGGTTTAAAGACAAAAGTATTTGGCACAAGCCAACTTTTAATCAGGCATCTCAAATTCAAGTATTGGTGTTTGGTCTGTATGCAGGTTTGTCAACCTTGACTCTGGAATATAAAGCAATTGAATCCATTCCCTGTCCCACTTAATGCAAATATACTTTAAATGTTAGTGGAATGAATTTATGCAGGGCAAGAATCAAATTCAAAGATGAGATCTTACATGGCACTACTGATGAGTTTCTGTTCTTCTCTTTGTTGCAATCTTTTTGGGCACTAAAGCATTCTATATATTTTGCATTGCATTGCATAACCAGCTGCAAAATTTAAACAGAAAAGGAACAAGATTATTTTTTGATCAGTCTTTTAAAATACAAATCTGCACATACTTTTCTATTTCTGAAAAAAAAGAATCCTTAGAAAACCAAAATGTATTATCACTGTTAAAAGAATTCAGAATGCTAAAAACAATCAAACACCCTGCATTAAAAATTCTTTATACAAATATTTATTGGTTCTTGCGTGTATAATTCTCATTTTTAAATAAATGAAATTCTATTTCACCTTAGTTTGGGCAAGTTCAGTTTAACTTTTCCTGAAGATATAAAGTCTAAATATGTACAATAAAAATGTCCCTGGAAAGTAAAACCTTTTATTTTGTAAAACATTAAAAAAAGCTGTGCTTGATGAATTTTTTCCTCCTACTCACTGGGAACCTCAAACATTGCAATTAATATCAATTTATTTAGGATATTCATAAAGGAGAATATTTGTAGCTCAGGGTTGAAATGATCCCCTCCCATCTTATTTAGGATAATTTATTTTGTTTGCCAGATAATTTTTTGTAATTTATCCATTGTGCAAAATGAATAGTTGTGACCAATTTGTGGGACACTTTGCAGATAAAGCCCCTTGCAAATATTCCAGTTTTGATTCCACAGCAGACTGATCCTGATAGATACATTTGTTATTTTCAAATTCTGTGAAGATACAGGAAAGATCATTGGATGGGTGAAATTATATCTATGCCTAAATCTTACCTTGTAGGCAATTTTAGGCAGCCAGTATGCATTGCGAATGAATAATAAATATCTGTTTGACTTCTTCCAAGCTTCAAGGAAGTGACTGTGAAACTCTGTTTTTTAAAAAGTATCTTTATACTTGCAGTACTATACAGGTAGACCTCACTTAATGACTGCCCTGTTTAATAATCGTTTGAGTTATGACTGCCTGAAAATGCAACTTTACAACCTGTGGTCACATAATTGACATTTGAGTATTTCGCAACTGATAGTCATTAATAACTGTTATGGCGTCCCATGGTCATGTGATTGCCATTTGTGAACTTCACAACCAGTAGTCAATGGAGAAGCTGGCGGTAAAATTACAAGTCGCAATCACATGATGTCTTGCTTAATGACCACATAGGAAGAGAATCATAAGCATGTCATTGTCATGTGATGCTTCACTCAGAGACAGCATCGCTGACCGACGGAATTACCAATCGCAATTATGGTCCCTAAGCAAGGACTTATATCATTCATTGGTAGGAAGAATGCATGTTGTGTTGCCCCTAGAGCCCACAAGATGACAGCAGAAAAAAATAAAAGAATGATGTTTATGATGATATGCCATTTTTGGATAAAATAAGACATTGAATCAATTATGTTAAGTATTTGAAAAGCTTAATGTCATCTATTTTAATTAAAACAAAGCACACACAAAGCACATTTCAAAAAATGGAATTTCTACTCTTTCCCCCCTTGCTATCAGCTTCAGATTCCTGAAAATATATTTTAAAGACTCCTTTTCCTGATACTTACAATCCTCTCTCCACCTTATGCTAGAATAGGCCCCCATCTAGTTTTAATTTTAGACTTAATTCCCTAAGGAAAAAAACCTCATTATGAGGGCATCGCAGAGGGCATTACCGTAGAGCGGACTCTGCAGGGCTGAACCATGACTCAAGGGTATTATCAATCCTACCATTTCAATTTTCTTGAATTAGTTGAATGACCTAAGCATCAACAATGGTCAGGAAGGGCAGCAATAACAATGGAAACCATTCAAAGCTACAGTTGATAAATCATGTAGGTATACTGGAGCATGGTGCTTGAGTGGTTAGGACACTGGGTTGGAGGTTAGCAAGCCCATGTTTGAGACCCTAGTGCTGCCATGGGGCGGGGTGAACTCCCATCCTTCACTCCAACCCCTGCCAGGGTCATGAAAGGGGTCCCCAATTGGGTATCCCCCAGGCAACGGTGATGTCACCAGCTAATCCTTTCAACCCAGAAATGTCTCGGTGCTTCTGACACAAGTGCAATGAGATATAAGTACCGCATCCACGCAGCAAGTGTCAAAGTTTACCTTGAACTGTTTCTCCAGTCGAGTCTTGCCCCCAATGCCAGGTATGAGAATGCTGTTGACATAGCTATGTAGCTGATTGGCAGAAACTTCAGTCTCTTTCCCGAGAATGGCTTCCAACAAGGCATCATGAATGAAAACATACTGCTCCTAAGAGATGCAAAGAGAGATAGGCATGTGTAACTCTGTTCTGAATGGAGTGCAAGTGCTTTTGAGTCATGCAAGACAGGATATTTGCAACAACCTTGGATCAAATATTACTTACATAGCTTTTCAGTTTCACTGATGGTTCTATTTCTGGAGCATTTTTCCTTTTTCCTCCTCTGCTTGTTTATTACTTTTTTTTGCAATATCTTAATTTTGTAATATCTGTAACATCTGTAATTTTCTTCCATTCTAACATAAATCGCCCCCTTTTCTTAAAACATTTCCCTTGTTTACTTTGATTAAATTAAAATAGTGTTATGAATTTTAAAAAGTGAAATTATGGGATGACTTCTATCAGCTTTTCTTCTCGCTAACCTTTCTAAAAGGGTTGTGCATTTCAAATAATGCTAATAAAATAATCTTGACCCTATTTAATTTGGGGTCTGTACTGTCCCCTCAACTCCAGCCCAAATAATTTCTTAAGCAGTTTATTCTGAATTTTACATACGGGTGGTCTTCAAATAATGATCAAAATTGGAATTTGGAATTCTGCTACTAGGCAACGCAATTGTTAAACGAGTTGTGCCTGAATTTATGACCATGGTTGCCGTGGCTGTTGAATGAATCACTGCAATTAAGGGAATCCCATGATTGTTAAGGGACTCAGGCTTCACCCACTGACTGTGCTGGTTGGAAGCTGTCTGGAAAAGCTGCAAATGGTGATCACATGACCCTGGGATGCTGCAACCATTGCAAATACATGCTGGTTGCCAAGCACCCAAATTTTGATTTTATGACTGTGGTGATATTGCAATGGTCTTAAGTGTAAGAACCAGTCATAAGTCACTTTTTTGAGTGCAGTTGTTGTAAGTCAAGGACTGCCTGTAAATGAAAAATAATCTGTCTGAATATACCCATTCATAAGTATGGATGGTCACATAACTATGTGCTCACTAAGAATCCACATTCACTCGAATCACATAATGATTCTTTATATATGCCTGCAGAACGAACAGATACAGACACAAAAATTTAACCTGCAAATTGTGTTATTTTAGCAGGAACTGCAATAAGCAAACTTCCTGTAACAAAATTTAGTTGGTTGGTAGCGACTGGCTGCAGCAATGACAACGAATACATTTCCGATTCTTACCTCCGTCTGGACGAGGTAGTTGCGCTGTGTCCTGATGTGTTTCAGGAAACCCAGGACATTAACTGTGCTTTTGTCTTTTATTTGTTGCAGCATACTGTCTATTACAATGTAGGTACCAGTCCTGCCAACACCAGCACTAAGCCCCAAACAAAAAGATAAAAAGAAATAAAGCAGTAGGAAAACATAATTAAATATTAAGAAAGAATGCCTTGATGCTAATACTAATTTTCATAACAATCATGGAAGTGCTGTAAGCGATGTTCAACCTGAGCCTCTTCAAATAGAATAGGATATGGCTCGGGATGCTGGGAGTAGTCCCCAAATTGGCATCCTGGAATATACTTTGGTGAGGAAACCAGTTTTCTGGGCAATTTTGACAAAATGGCTTAAGGTATCCTAAATTTATATCCTTTAGAGATCTCATTGCCACACACACACCCCCCAAATGATACATGTAAATGGTTCTTGTATAATTTGTAGTACTTCAACCAATAAACTTCTCTATGGTGGATTAAATGTTTGCTTTGCCAGAAGGACTTCAAGATGTTTCTTTGAAGATAAAAATGTCTTGTGTTTTCTTTCTCTTTCTCTCACGTTCAACTGTCAAGTGCCTCTTTCTTCCTTTATCTTTCTTCTCTGAGATCTTTATTTGCATGCTAGCAAAACACTCTTTCATCACAGCCTTCACCTTGCATTTGGGGAATCTTCCTATGTCACAGCGCATATTAATGTGCTTCTCAGGGAGGAACTAGCCCTGCAGAGGGAATAGATGGAGGCTATTTCCCTACTAGTGAAAAAGTCAGGATTCAAATCCGCTTTCCAATTGTTCTGTGATTACTGAGTTTCAATTTTAGATCATTATTTAATTTCAAAGATGACTAGATGGGAAAGCTTAGTTTGCAATCGGTTAGAAATCAATTATAGTTGTGCAGCAACTTCAGAATGAATGATGCTCAGAACCTTGTTCTGTAAATTCTCCTTTTTGATATATCAAACATTTTCACTGCATATCGTAATATCCTTTTTGATTCAGGAGAATGAACTTTACCAAATAAAGCATGCAGAAAAAATTAAGAGTTCACGTACTGATGATACACCTTTCCAGATGGGTTTCTTTTTTTCAGATTTATAGGAAAAGAATATTCTAAGAATGCTAATATCTACACATTCAGGAAACCCAAGCTCTTTTTGGCAATCAGGATACATTAAGAAGTCTCATGAATGCAATTATACCTATTTCCCTGACAATGTGTTTTTTGTTTAGCTTTGTATAGAATAGAATAGAATAGAATAGAATAGAATAGAATAGAATAGAATAGAATAGAATAGAATAGAATAGAATTGGAAGGGACCTTGGAGGTCTTCTAGTCCAGTTCCCTGCTCAAGCAGGAGAACCTATACCATCTCAGACAAGTGACTGTCTAGCCTCTTCTTAAAAATCTCCAGTGATGGAGCACCCACGATTTCTGAAGGCAAGCTGTTCCACTGGCTAATTGTCCTCACTGTCAGGAAGTTTCTCCATAATTTTAGGTTGCTCCTCTCTTTGATCAGTTTTCAACCATTGTTTCTTGTCCTCCCCTCTGGTGCTTTGCAGAATAATGTGACACACACACACACACACCCCCCCGCCTTGTGGCAGCCCTCAGATACTGGAACACTGCTATCATGTCTCCCCTATTTCTTCTTTTCTTTAGACTATCAAACCCAAGTCCTGCAGCCGTTCTTCATATGTTTTAGTCTCCAGGCCTTGGATCATCTTAGTTGCTCTTCTCTGAATTGTTTCCAAACTCTCAACATCTTTTCTGTGATATGTTGACCAAGGTGTGGTCTTACTAGGGTTTTATAAAGCGGTACTAATGACACAGTGTTTTTCAGTACTGTTTCCAAGAATAGTTTAGGTTAATAAAAAATAAATAAAAAAATCCAGAACCAGATGACATCATAAGTATGATCGTGACTTAGAATGAAACTTTGGTTTAATCCTAGATTCCAGGAATGAACTTGGAAAAATAATATTGTGTCTCAGACTCGACTCTCTCTGTAATATGTGTTTTCTGTTACTGTGGTAAATGTAGCTATTTATTTTGGTACCGAATCATTATGTTGCTAAATACATTTAGACACATGGTGATTTGTAAAGATGTCAGCAGTTAAAAGAACAAGTGATGCACATATAGATGCATTGTTGTAAATAATAACCAAACCACCATTGCAACTGTACATTAATCTACACTATGTTGCCAACAAGAATGGATTGACAATGTCCAAACATACCTGCAATGTACAATTACTGGACCCATCTCAGCAGTTCTGGCTGCAGAGGATCTTCTCACAAATGTCAGCACAGGAAGTGCATATTCAGGTACTCCCATGTCAGGCCACTGTGTGTAATGGTACTGAATGAGTGTCCTTTCGTTTTGACGTCCTTTGGGATTTCCCTTTCGATCCAGAAGTCGTGAAACATACAAGTAGAAAATAATAATATTAGTTAACATCAAGGTTTCATATTTTTCCCTCTCTGTACTGCTGTTTAGCCCTCTCTGGACACCCTAGAGCAGAATAAACTCAGGGGTGCTGAAATTTAAGGATTTTATGTGAAAAAGTCCTGTAAATTCTAATATAATACTATTATCTAACAACTGAGATACAAAATCAAATTTGGGTCGATCACCGGGACCAGAGATTTACTCTTCTGAGCTTTCGGACTTATGCCAGAGCCCATCTTCAGGTAATTTCTCTACTGGAATACGTGCCCTAGCCCAGGGGTAGGCAACCTTGGCTCTTTTATGACTCATGGACTTCAACTCCCAGAATTCCTGAGCCAGTCATGCTGAGGGGAAAGGAAGAGGTTTCCAAGCTGAGCCATGCTGGCTCAGGAATTCTGAAAGTTGAAGTCCGCAAGTCATAAAAGAGCCAAGGTTGCCTATCCCTGCTCTAGGCTCTTCTGTGAGTCGTGTTTATATGGTGGCTTCCTATTAGCTGATTGGTGTGTTGATAGCTGGCGATTGGCTGTTGTTTCCTTGGACTGCCAAGCCCTCAGCTCCTAAGTATTTGATAAGCCGGTGGCAACTCCTATTATCTGACAAAGAGTACATCTCTGGTCCGGGTGACTGACCCAAATTCAATTTTGCATCATTATCCTGGGACATATAAATTTGCCTTCAACTGAGATAGACTTTGCCTTACAAAGAAACCTTTGTAATTATTGGACTACCATATCAGTTTATAAGAGGTAGCTTCCAGTAAGTTCTCACAGCCTGACATGAATTGAAAATCATACCCTCCAAAATGCAACCGAGTCAGATAAAACTGATCTCTGTCTTTCATGTTCATAGCTGTATTTCACTTGAATTTAAGGAAGAATAGTAAAAATTGGCCCTCCCAAAGTTCCTTGACTACAATCTCTGTAATCTTTGGCTATAATGATTGGATGGATAGGAAATGTACATAAAACTATTTGGCAATCTTTGTACATTTTTAAAATCTAACAAAACTCACAGACATAATCTTGTTCTTTTGCTTAATTTGCTTATCTTTAATGTTGAGCCCACTGAGAAAACTATTATAGTAATTTTATGATGCCTAATATGAATTCCTTGTTCAATAGTGTCAAATTTGAAAAAAAGATATTGATGAACTATTTTCTTTTTCATTTACTTGTAATTTCAATTACTGCACTCAATTTCTTCCATCTGTTAAAAATTCTTAACTTCCCAAGCCTTGTCAAATTGTAAAAACAGACAATTTGATTTTCTGCTATGTGCATTGCATTGTTCTTGGTTTTCTGGTCCTTTCTGCTTTATTGTACACCAGAGGCCCCCAACCATTTGGGCACCAGGGACCGGTTACATGGAGAGAGGTTTTTCCGTGGACCGGAAGGGGCATGGTTTTGTGTGTTGCCTGCATCTCACGGATGGGGCTTTGCTTGTTTGTGCGGACCAGTTGCTGGCATGCTGCGGCCCAGTACCGGTCCACAGACTGGGGGTTGGGGACCCCTGTTGTACACTATAGACAGTCTTGAGATCGCAACAATCTTCGAATATTGTATGTATGAATGAGTCACACTTAGTAGCAACATCCCAAATGGACATTCATTTTTGAACAAACATAGTGTAATGATGTTGCTCACTTTTTTCATTTTTGTATTCCTCACTGTGAAGCGGCGGACAGTGTAGCAAGCATGTACTTTTGTGCTCTTCAGTGTGACAATGATATGGCCATATTCCTCACTGTTTTCAGTTGGCCAATACTGGTCACATTTCCTCTGAAGAAAGAAGAATAACATAAAATGTTAAAGTCTGTATGATGCTAGAGGATACTGAGTTAAGAAGGATTCAATCTGAGATCTGGCTGCATAAAAGAGCTATTTCTTTTTTTTTAGTTGTTCTGGAAAAACTGCTTATTATGTTTTTTAACCCTTTGTTAAAATTGTATTTTTATTGATAGTTATTACATGTAACAATTGTTAGGACATTATTTATGAAATATTGTTCATAATATAGATTATCTAATATACTTTTACACAAATTCATCAGTCCTGGTATAATTTAATTTTTGTTAATGTCTTATATTTATATATATACTGTCATTTGTCAGGCTATAATAATAACAATAATAGAGTTGGAAGAGACCTTGGCGGTTCTAGTCCAACCCCCTGCTCAGGCAGGAAACCCTATACCATTTCAGACAAATGGCTGTCCAGTCTCTTCTTTAAAACTTCCAGTGTTGGAGCATTCACCACTTCTGGAGGCAGGTCGTTCCACTGATTAATTGTTCTAACTGTCAGGAAATTTCTCCTTAGTTCTAGGTTGCTTCTCTCTTTGATTAGTTTTCATCCATTGCTGGAAATTGTTTATATTGTTTAAATTGTTTTGAGAGAGAGTGAGAGAAAGAGAGAGAATGTCTGGAATTTAACTGGAATGTACCAGCTTCAAACTTAGTTCTCTAAGTCTAGGCCTTATTTTTCATGGGCTACAAACATTTTCAAAGTGTTTTTTTATTTCTTTTTCTAACAGCAATACAGTTCAGTCAATGTTAGCTAGTGAACCACCATTTTTGTCCCATTGTTCTTTTAAGACAGAGGTCCCCAATCCTCGAGCCACGGCCCATTTGGAACTGGCATCACAAGAACTGGTGGGGGAGTGTGTGCATGCACAGCTCCATTTGCAAGAGTGGCGGGCACATGTGCCTACTACTTGCACAAATGGAGTTTCCTGCATCTGGCGCTTCCATGGAACCCTCCCCCGCTGGTCTGCCAAGCTGAAAAGATTGGGGATTGCTGTTTTTTAAGACAGCTCTGTCTAATACTTCTCTAAGCTTTAATCATCCTAAAGTAATATTACCCAACTTTGGGAGGGGGTTTAAATTGTGGATAGATGGCTGGTGAATTCTGGGAGTTGAAGTCTACACATCTTAAAATTCTCAAGATTGGGAAACACTGACCTAGAGTATATTCAAGGTTTATAGTGATAGGAAGTTGCTAAAGTGGACTAAACAAATTAAGGAACCCTTAGCAAATGGTGTTAGTTATATTAGTTAAATATTATATTATGCAGGAAATAAATTACTTTCACATCATGCCTGTTATAGGTTATCCATGAGCAGAAATGAGATCTGCCTCATCTATATTATAAATATTGATTTACAACAACAACAACAACAATAATAATAAAGTTGGAAGGGACCTTGGAGGTCTTCTAATCCAACCCCCTGCTCAGGCAGGAAACCCTAGACCATTTCAGACAAAATTATTATTATAAATAAAAATTATTATTAGAGTTTATGCTACGATGAAACACATTCAACTCCTTAACAAAACTGAAGAAAGATCACACATCTCTGGTGAGAACTAAGAAAAATATTATGATAATAAATGCAGACTATTCTGCTTACTCTTCCTTTTTCCACAAGATTTGTAATCATGATGATAATTCCAGTGTTTTGCTCCCAAATCATTCTCCAAAAATCTTCAAATGTTGACTTTAAAGGGCCCTGGGTGGCAATGTAAGCTTTCGCTTTGTTGTAACCCTTCAAAGGAAATCACAATAATACGTAAGATAAAAGTATCTGCAATAGCAATCATATTAATAATGTATATATCTCTGGAGCAGAGCTCTTTTCTACTGAACGTTTGAGGAGTTTGGAGCTGAAGTTGAAAAATGAAAAGTTCTAATAATGCATTAAGAGTTTCTGTTTCTTCTGAGGGACAAGATTTCTCAAGAGACCTTAGGAATTAACAAAACAACTTACATCAACATAATTGGCATTAATGTAATCGCTGTGCTTTGAATCCTTTCCTGGTAAAGGTCTTAATTTCACTCGACTGTGATCATCTACAGAAAAGAACAAGGAAAACACACATTTAAGAAAATAAGCCTGATACATTTTTCTTTTTTAATATATGATTGACTAATGAAAGAACTGAAAAGCCAATTCTCGCTTCAGAAAATGTTACAGAGGAATTGGAGATTGATTTAAAAATAGGTTGTTTGGCAAATAGGGAGTGTTTTCTCAGTTGATGATCAAAGTGTTTTGACTGTTTTATTGGAACACCTGATAGTATCAAAGTTATTAATCAATTTAGGGTGCAATGGAATGCCAAAGACAATCAGGTAAATACTTTCGTGAGATCCAATTAAGCTTCTGTTTACAGAAGTCACAGAAAGGGAAAACTTCAGTTCTGGAAAGTTGGAAATTTTCAGAGACAGGCATAAGGAAAATCACTTTTATGAGACTGCATCAGAAATTTGGCAATGCTATCGTTCAAAATTAGTATTTATTTCAAATCATGGCAGGAAAAATGCGTATGTCCCTGGAGATTGGTTTAATGCAGTTAAAAAATATAATGTGTGCAGAGGAAAGGAATATGTGAGTGTAATTCTACTTACCAGTATTCAATCCTATCCTTTTAATTAATCTCCACTTTATTAAAGACTTTCTGGAAATTAGTATATCACATTGGAAAAAAATTAGTCTAGAACATCGAGCTGCGAATTTCTTAGACAGAGTCGCTTTTCTAAATAAAATCTGTATGTTTTTAATCTTAAAAGATTGTCATTATCTATCTCAGAAAACAGGCCTGAATTTGAATTTGAATTTTGAATTTGAATTTGAATTTGAATTTGAATTTTATTATATTTATACCCCGCCCTTCTCCCGGAGGACTCAGGGCGGCTTACAGCCAGTTTAAAAACAACTAATACAATACAATACAAAATTTAAGAAAATGATTAAAAATAAAAAGAAAGAAGCATGTTATCCATTTGTTGAACTTTTATTATTTTATTTTATTGTAAGTATACTGATAGAAAGCCAGCTTGGTGCAATGATTAAAACACCAACCTAAAAACTGGGAGACTGAAGTTGTAGCCTTGCGCATGAAGCCAACTGGGTGACATTGGGCCAGTTCTTCTCTGTCAGCCCTAGGAAGGATGCAATGTCAAGCAACTTCCAAAAATCTTGCTATGAAAACTGCAAGAATTATTTCAGGCCCTCATATGGACTCAACACTGATTTGATGGTATAAAAAGTAAATGTGTACTGGTAAACTGGGACACCATTACAAGATACGCAGTTATTGTTATTTATTACTTCTCTGAAGGCCATTATTACTCACATGCTAAAATGTTGATGTATCTGTTTTTGTGCTTGTTGTCGGGGTGATTGGAATGTTCAGCGGTGATGTTCATGTCAGATGTACAACGCTGCACTTCCTGTTAAGAAAACAAATTGAAAGAGCAGATAAGTGCCAAACATTTTATTTGTCTCATTTTGCAAACAGTTCATTCAGAACATATTGAAATGCTGGGAGATCGTTGATTCCCCCCCCCCCCATGAGTATCCTTTCAGCAAAATACAATGTAAACATATTCCAGCAAGTTTTATGAAGAATATTTTCTAGTCCCAAGTATCTGATGAAATCTACAGTGATTAAAATTCAGTCTAGTGTAAAATCCCGGGCATAGTTGTACATGTAACTATTTCTCTCATAACAACACCCTGAAAGTAGTTCATTTTAACTATAAGCGTTTTTTGTGGCTAATCAGTTGTAAGGGGCCAATATGAAACAGTACAAAACACTATTAAATAAAAAGATGGACTGAACCAGATTTGTATCTCAGAAAAATATACATTTTTAGATTAAAAATATAATGGCTATTTCATAGAGTTAAAAAAAGATCAAGTGACTACAAAGAAAATACATATATACATTATATACTCATCATGCTATTTCCTTTTGTGTTAAGGTTATAAAAAGGAAAAGAGTAAGTAGTAGCAATGAAAAATAAAATAGAAAATAAAGAAAAAAGACAAGGAAATCTAAGTAGATCTACTTTATATCAGTATGATTCACTATACCAATCCATATTGTTTAATCTTTACAATCCATTCTTGTTTTTACTATATCCATATACTGTTTCATACACCACTTTTGGTTCTTTTAACCGTATCTTTCACTTTCTGAAACTCTCCTACTACATCTTGTCTTTCCTTTTTCTCTCAACCCTTATACTGTAATTAAATTCTCATTCTCTCTATATAGCCAAATTACCTCAGCGAACATCTTTTGTATAGGTACCTTCCACATTTATTCAGTACCCAATCATTTTGACTCTTGCATTTGTCTTATTACCCAATTCTTTTGTCCCTGTTTATATAACTCATTCTCTTCTAATACACAGTTCATACGTAACCAATTTCCATATAACAACTATATACTCTTCCACACAGCTGTTTTTGTTTCTTTTGAATGATGTTCATTACTTGCAACAGAACACATATTACCTGCCAGCTTTCTACTAGCATTTCATATCTTGAACTTTCTGCAGCCATTTTTATGTCCATAGGAAGCACTCTATCAAGATATACACATTCACCTGCATACTTTATTTTTTCATCATTTCTATATAATTCATAGTCATTCACTCAATTTTATCAAACAAAGAAGAGGGAGTCAAGCTATTCTCCAAAGCACCCGAAGGCAGGACAAGAAGCAATGAATGGAAACTAACCAAAG